GGGGGGGGGGGGGGGATTTGTTGTATGTCTGAAAAGAAGCAAAATAACAAGGTAAATTAAAATCAAAGATATTTCAGGACCAACTGCTTGTTTCTCTGTCTTTCAAAGGACATGGCTATGAAAAATAAGCAATCAAGAACGCATTCATATATCAATCACGTCCCTCAATAAAATATAGCTTTTATGCCAAAAAACATTCAAGCCACGAAGCCTCATGCTAACAAAACTACGCGGAATGCCAATCTTACTTGTTCCTTGAGGATGGAGTACAACTTCATATTTTGCCTCAGCAATTGTAACTTGATTCTTTTGGATGTGACAGAAAGTCTCAGTTTCAATGTAGACACCCATGAAGTATATAGGCTTTTCTGAAACAAAAAAGTGAGTTAAGCGAAAAAATATCTCACAACCCCAACATGTAAGATAAAAGACAATATTAGCTACAAAATACATTATCTTTTATTTACTCTGATGAGCACAGAAAAGCAAGTTATCCTACTCCATTTTTACCAATATTTTAATTTCTATGGTATACCAAGTTGGATAATCTACTTATTTGTGATAGGAAAGTTGGATAATGGATAATCTACTGTATTTCCTAATTTGTCAAACTAAAAAAATAATGTTTTTGCAAGTGAATCAGAGGGTTGTAGCTATCGAACATAACCACTGCAATCTTATTTACGTCCCCATATGCCACAGCTCAGGCATTTGTCTTCCAAATTGCTTTATTATTGTTGAGCATTTCTAGTAACCATGCATCACAAATATTGGGCACAAAAGTATACAACAGAATCTAAGTCTCCTACATAGGCATTGGTGTTCCTATTCCAGAATGCCCCACATCTTTATTCACCAATTCTGGTCACAATTATGTATCTTGCAGCACATAAGCATGTTGGAAAAAGAAAAATGCTTAAAAGTAAAGAAAAAACAAATTGATTTATAGATGAAGCCCAACAGATGACCCTCTAGTGGCAACTTTGTCCCTCTTTGCCCATTTGTCACACAGATTGTTGTAATCATTATTTAAGCATCTAGACAATAGCAAACAAGCAGAACAAAGTATTGCGAGTTCATATCATGCATCAAAGGGTCACTAAACAGAATAACAGCCCAAAAAGCCAAGCTCATAAGAGAACTTTTTGAATAAGAGTGGACTGAAAGCAGTTCCTAATCTTTGGTACATACAAATTCCTAATTTATTCAACAACGAATAATACAGAAAAACATCACTAGACCAGTTCCATTTTTTTCCTGTGTATCGTGCCAATTTATTTCCACACGATTAAGTCATCCATTTTAACAGGAAAAACAGGGAGAACCCAATAAAAACAGGGGTTACAGAGCAACAGAAAGCCCAATCTGTTATACCTTTTTAGGCACAAATACTCGTAAAAGTTAAGGTATCACACCAAATTTCATACACTGACAACGAAAAACAAATTTTCTCAGCAAAATATCCTTTAACCTGACAAGAAATGATAGCTCTTAAAGATAGTTTCATGTAGATCATTCCACGTGCAATACATAGTCAAAAAAGTTCATGCAGTCCAAGTTATGTTACTTCAACAATTTTCACATCAGTCCCAAGTCTATAAACAAAGGTTACCAGCTAATAAGCACCCATCATCGCAACAAGACAGACACTATATTCCAAAGCACGTAAGAAATAAAACAGTGGATGAGGAGGTGATCTGTTGTCTCAGCAACTAACTTGCAATTCTACAACTTGTTGCAAGCATCCCATTACACCTGTTGATGTGATAATTATTTGCACTTTCACAAGTTGCCACTTCTCTGATGGAGCCTCTCACATTTACTTCACAAGCAATTCCCTTGCTCAAAGTCAAAATATTAGATGAAATAGTCATCCACACAACCTCATTTTAAATGAAAGAATAAAAAATGTTACTCCATAAATTTTAGATATTCCAACTTGCACCAGTGGCAATCTCTTATTCCTCCCCATCCCAACACCGCTTTATTCCATCTTCTGCATCAATTGGCCTCTCCAACATATCTTCAAAATTGAAGCCACAACATTTAAATTCAATTCAGCCAAAATATAGAATTGAACTGCATTCAAAATACCATCCTTTATTTCTCTCATTCTCTTTACGCATGAAGTCCAGCATGGATTAAACAATGTGGTCGTCAGATCAACCCTTGCATGAGCTACAGCTAGTAGACTGGGAACACACACACACACACAGACAATTTCATCTGACTACCTCATAACATTGAGTTTGGTTATCTTTTAATCATTATTTACGGAAACTTCTGCAACTACCCAAGTCCACAATTACCATATCTCCCTGCCTTCATGATCTCCCCTTCCCCCCAAAGCCAGAACACCATGGTTTCTGACAATCAGCCACGAGTGATCTATCACCATATTAAATTTTATTCTCTACCCCTGTTGATACAAGATCATGACATCGACTTAGAAGCCACTAAGACGCATTGGTCGCACTGGTACGAAATAGTATCGGAATATACACATGAAATGCTAATAGAATAAAAAGTTGAACATAACAAGAGATTCAAGTCATATCACGGTGTCTCAAAAAGGCATCGACTTATTTGATGATGACTTGGACAAATTGGGATGGACTCGAAGACGTCCCGGATGGTTTGGCTTAATTTTGTGAGACTGATTGGTTACATGGAATGTTGAACATTATGCGATCAGAAAGTGCCAAATCAGATACAAATTGGCTGAGTCATATCGTTATCCACCGTTTCACTGAACCACACTCCACACACCAAGCTGTTTTCCTTTTGGTGGAGCTATATCAAGGAGGCGGGTAGAGGAAAATATATTCAAAAGCAGCAAATCTGCTCTCCAATGTTCTTCTAAGTCATTCTCCAAAACAAGAAATCCAACTTTTGGTAAATTATGGCATCCCTGTACTATCCCCCTCTCGACCTCCTCATCAGTCATCACAATTTTGAAGATTCAAGGAGATGACATGGTACCACAGTATAAAATTAAGTGATTCTTCCCATCTCACAATGGAGCTCAAGGTCGTGAGTATTTAAAGAGATCAAACATAGATTTTCCTGATTGAAGGCACAGGGAAACAACGTCCAAACCTGACTATACTAGGCATCTACAGAGTAACATACGACCAGACCATACAAGACAGACCATACTGAGCTTCAAAAAGTGTTGCATTCTACTATACAAAAATATAAAAGTCATAACCTGCAGAAAAAATTGAGATGTGAAGTCAAGGAACTTTACCTCTGTTGTCACTCTTTGTTCCGACAGGGCAGCATCTGCTCGAGCATTTACAAATCGCCATTGCAATTGCCTGTTATATAACAGCTTCAACTCATGTGCATCAACAACGCGGTTCTCCCCCACCTTTCCTCTTCTAACATCAGCAGCAAAACTCAATATGGATGGTGTATTGATCAAGTTATCACTAGGTGTGTTTGCTACCCCATTCCTCGTTCGGGTCGGACTGGGAATCCCCCTTGACGGATTAGACCTAGAACAAGTCAATAACTTACTGGGAGATGCAGGTCTAACACCTCCTCGAACAGGAGATGATAATCCCTTACTATTTAAAACCTCTCGAGGCGATGATATTGGACTGTCATTTAACTTTTTCGTTCCAATCAACTTTGCAGGTACAACCGTTTTCAATCCATTGCTATTGGACACTGGGGAACCAGGCTCTGGTCCTCGCCGGAGATTTTTATTAGTCCCTTGCAAAAACCTAGCTGGAACCACGATGCCGCGCTGCCTTCCTCTCACATGAGCAACACTACCATATTCTTGCACACCTGAATTACTTCCCGAAGAAACACTTTCACTATCCGAAGCTACCGGATCAGAAATTACAACTGATCCAGTAGCTGGATTTGCTTCCGCAACAAGCGGAATCGGCTTTCGAAGCTCAGCATTGGTTCTCTCAAGTTTCGATTTAGCATCCATGGAAACTCTACTGCTCTCATCATTCACAGACTTTTGCAGAGCCCTAGCACTTCCAGATCCACCCAATTTTGCCCTCTCAGCCGTAAAATCTACACTCATAGTCATAGAATTCAAATTCACTTGCCGTGATCTCCCCGGCCAGCGATGATGATCACTTGGCTTCGAATTCTCCGTCTGATCCCTCAGCGGCGTCTCCGCTTTCGTCCTCTCAGGGGTACCTTTCCTAGTATTGCTCAAACTATTCACTGGCGTCGGCCTTGCTTTATTAACCGGAAGTGAAAACGAGTCTCCTTGAAACGACACTGACAAACTCCTCGTCGAAGTCACCAACAGCTTCCTCGCATTCGACATCTCAGGCGTATTCGGCCTCGGCGTTACCGGCCTTTTTCGCTCCACCGATTGCGACCTCTTACTCAAATTCGGCATCGGCGTCATCGCAACTTGTCTGGACACCAACGGCGACGGACACCGCCTCGAATACGACGAATTTGAAGATGACAAATACGAAGAAGAGGTTGCTGAAGACGACGACGTCGAACTGGAAGAAGTAGAAGACATGTAGCGAGAAGTGATTTCTCTAGATTTATGTCTTCCAGGGCCATTCTCTGCATCGGAAGGTAACAATGGAGGTCTCTTCGGGTTCCGGTAAGTCGAGGCCTTAGGGTTTGGTGTTGTATACACATTAGCCACCATCAGACTTCACTATATTAACTCCTAATGCATTTCTTCACACATCACAAACCCCCCTATTCCTTTGCCCAAATTCACAACCTCAGAACTCGTCAAGCTAGATTTAGACAGAGAAATCGGAGAGAGAGTGGGAGTGAATGTAGACGAGACGAGACTTATAGGTTTAACGATTTATAGTTAGTTTTAGAGAGAAAAAGTGACCGGCAATATGACCGTTACGGAAGACCGGCGAGAATATACGCGTAGGAGAGAGAGAAAGTGGGGGTCGCTTAGGCGAGATTTGGGAGCTAACTGTCGTACTGAGTGCGTGTGTTATGGGCGGGGGATTCACATTTGGGGAGTGGGATTTTATTTGTACTCGCTGTGCGAGAAGTGAGAGAGACTCGCTTTTGGTGTGGTGGTGACGTGTGCAGTATAAGGGTAGTTTTGGGGAAGAAAAATATTGGGTGGGTGGGGTAGTTTTGGACAGGAGGACACGTGGCAGAGAGTTTGTGGGGCGAATGTACACGCCATCAAGTCTACTACGGAAAGGTATATATATATATAGGTGACGAGGACAAGTGAGGAGGAGGATGTTTGAGTTTTGTGAGATCTTCGCCCAGACGTTACGTTAATGAAAATTNCGTAAAATCTACACTCATAGTCATAGAATTCAAATTCACTTGCCGTGATCTCCCCGGCCAGCGATGATGATCACTTGGCTTCGAATTCTCCGTCTGATCCCTCAGCGGCGTCTCCGCTTTCGTCCTCTCAGGGGTACCTTTCCTAGTATTGCTCAAACTATTCACTGGCGTCGGCCTTGCTTTATTAACCGGAAGTGAAAACGAGTCTCCTTGAAACGACACTGACAAACTCCTCGTCGAAGTCACCAACAGCTTCCTCGCATTCGACATCTCAGGCGTATTCGGCCTCGGCGTTACCGGCCTTTTTCGCTCCACCGATTGCGACCTCTTACTCAAATTCGGCATCGGCGTCATCGCAACTTGTCTGGACACCAACGGCGACGGACACCGCCTCGAATACGACGAATTTGAAGATGACAAATACGAAGAAGAGGTTGCTGAAGACGACGACGTCGAACTGGAAGAAGTAGAAGACATGTAGCGAGAAGTGATTTCTCTAGATTTATGTCTTCCAGGGCCATTCTCTGCATCGGAAGGTAACAATGGAGGTCTCTTCGGGTTCCGGTAAGTCGAGGCCTTAGGGTTTGGTGTTGTATACACATTAGCCACCATCAGACTTCACTATATTAACTCCTAATGCATTTCTTCACACATCACAAACCCCCCTATTCCTTTGCCCAAATTCACAACCTCAGAACTCGTCAAGCTAGATTTAGACAGAGAAATCGGAGAGAGAGTGGGAGTGAATGTAGACGAGACGAGACTTATAGGTTTAACGATTTATAGTTAGTTTTAGAGAGAAAAAGTGACCGGCAATATGACCGTTACGGAAGACCGGCGAGAATATACGCGTAGGAGAGAGAGAAAGTGGGGGTCGCTTAGGCGAGATTTGGGAGCTAACTGTCGTACTGAGTGCGTGTGTTATGGGCGGGGGATTCACATTTGGGGAGTGGGATTTTATTTGTACTCGCTGTGCGAGAAGTGAGAGAGACTCGCTTTTGGTGTGGTGGTGACGTGTGCAGTATAAGGGTAGTTTTGGGGAAGAAAAATATTGGGTGGGTGGGGTAGTTTTGGACAGGAGGACACGTGGCAGAGAGTTTGTGGGGCGAATGTACACGCCATCAAGTCTACTACGGAAAGGTATATATATATATAGGTGACGAGGACAAGTGAGGAGGAGGATGTTTGAGTTTTGTGAGATCTTCGCCCAGACGTTACGTTAATGAAAATTAATTAAAAACTAGTGCATGGTCACTCTTGTAAATATTTTTCAAAAAAAAAAAAAATTCATGTCCATTATTTACACTTAAAAATAATAAAATCTGATAATGAGGAAATTCAATGGTCATAAAAAAAATTCTGAGGATCTATACTTGAGAGAGCGATTAAAATTTTTAATTATTTATTTGTAATATTATGTTGTAATGAGAATTTTCAAACTTATACGTTTGAGATAATTTTTCATTTAAAAAAAAATGTAAATTGACATTTATGTCGTTGGGTTTATTTCAAGGACAATGGTGGAATGACAGTGACCATGAAAGTAAAAATAGAATTATTTATCAATTATGCTCGACTGTTGTAATAATTTTGTAGATCAAAATCGAACGAATCTAATCTTTAACTATAAGTCTTCCGTGTCAAAAAAATATATTTTTTTGTATAGTACCCTCACTTATAACTTTTTATGATAAAATTATATTTTTTTAAAAAAAAAATTACAATTATCTCTGGAGAATATTAAAATCGATCACAAACACTCATGATCGGTCATAAGTTTCTCTTGAACTGTTGTAACTATTCTCTTATGAATTGTAAATTGTCCTTTAAAAATTATAACTTACTCATTTAAAATTTATAATTTCGGTATCGATTACAATTTTCAATAATTAATCGTATCTCTATAAATTGTAATTTATGTTTTAAAAAAAATTATAATTTTTAATATCATACAACCGACGGTACTATGGCCTTTGCCCTGCTCTAAATTCTGAGAAAAAGTATGCGACACTTTCCAAATATCTAGGATCAGGCAATTCGTGGGCCACATTCTGAATGCACGGAGGCTGCATGTCACAGGTCCTACTGGACTGGTATGGCCATTAATAATCACCAAATTCTACTGGCCAGGGTACATAGGATATAGTTCTTTTTTTTCAACGGCCATACTTTAATAAATTTGTGCTCGACTAATTTATTTTTTGATTTAATTATATATAAGTTATTTATAAAAAAATTAAATTATTTATAAAAAATAAATTTATAATTCGTATTTATTATTATTTGATCTACCTTTTAAGATTCTTCAGGTATAATATAACAAGTGTTCACATGGGGGTTTGTGGCTTGTTTTTATAACTTTGTTTAGTGAACGGTAAAGAGGGAATCGATGCAATAAAAAGCTCCTCAATACATTTTTTTCTAATTTAGACTATTTTATACTTAGACTTATTTCTACCTTATACGTTGTTTCATAAATTATCCATTTTCTGTCTTAAAATATTTATTTGAATTTCACATTATTTCAATTGTAAATTAATTTCCAATTTGTCACAAAAATCAGAGCAAAATGGGTATTGCGCTCACATCTTCTCACATTGTGCAACCTCATTTGTGTTTTGATTTGCTATGAGAAATTATGTAAAAGTCAATGATTGGGATAATACAAACCTTAAATCAATTATTTAAGGTGTTATATGAGAAAGTGGATAACCTTGAGAGTGAAAAAAAAAATGGGACGTATAGTTTAAGAGGGATCAAGTATAATTTAATCACATTGTTATGCAAACAAATTAAGACAAACCAATTGTTTTACAAAGACGATATTATAAAATTTAAGAAAGTCATTAGCGTCAACATTAACCAAAGGCAAAGAAACTTTCGTCAGCAAATAAACTGCCAATCAATCTTCTGAAAGTGAAAAGGATGGTCTCCCTCTCCCCTTTGAGTTTCAGTAACTCAACTCTCTTTAAGTTAATTCTAAGCCACATCATCTTACCAAAACCAACCAACTCCTACTCACCCAAACCTTACTTTAAATCAATTTATTAAGTGAAAAAGTTTCAATTAATCATTTGGGGCAAAGAAGTTAGAAATGTTTGTATCAACCGGCTGAAATGCTTCAATTTTCATTAACTACTTCACTAACTACCTACCTATACAAAACAGAAGTGTTGGTTGCAGATGCTACTGACCCATTTCTCTTCTCTCTCTCTCTCATCCAGCTTCTCCGCTATTAATTTTTAACAGTTGAAGTGCTGTCAATTTTCTAACATATGAGAACTCTCTCTCTCTCCACAGCAACCACTATGAATCTAATCACAGCCACTATAGATTAGAGTTGTAGTGGACTAAGTATCAACATCACCACCACAAGTAGCTCTCCTCACCTATACTTACTCAAATTCCATCTTATTTTGATATTTGTTCTTTCTTTTCGTGTTGTGTTGGATCAAAGAAGACGAATTTCCTCAAATTAGTAATGCCTGTTTAAATTGTTTGATCAATAATCAATATCTTTAAAGTATGTTAAAAATCAGACGAAACACATAAATACATCACGATCCTATTGAGTATCAATTTTGAGAGTTGTGCAAGTGAAGTTATAGGGACATGGACACATGAATGCGTGCACGGTCATCCCATAGAAGGAGGACCACTTCTAAAGTTCATTCCCTCATCAGCACGTAACTTCAATAAGCTTTTGCTTTTTTTCTCTTTGTTATCGTCCACAGAAAATAATCTATCGGGCTAATTTTAATGTTTTGATCAAAAAGAAAAAGGGGATAACTTCTATACAAGTTAGATTTTCTTTCGTCCTTATTACTTTCCCGGAAAAAGAGAGATTTTCTGTCTTCGTCTTTACTTTCCAGGAAAGACAAGATTTTCTTTCTTAGTTTCCCAGACGTAACCCATGATAAATATGGGTTTTAAGTTCCAGATTTATTACTCAACATTGTATAACAACAACAACAACTGGGAAGGGAAAGCTTTCTTTACGAAATATAGGAATCTTTTTCACTGTTTTATAAATAATAACCTTGATTTTGTAGGGTCTTCAAAGCAAAGTTTACTTAGATATGACAATTTGACAGTTTACCGTTTGTTATTTATTATTCTTTACATTATTTATATCACATATGTTGGTTTCCAACGAAGAAGTTAAAGCAAGAACTTTCTCTAGGTAGATCGAGTTCACCAAAAAACCAATTGAGTCACAAAAACTTCTGAAGAATGAAAGGGGTGTTTGACCCAATTTATGCGTATTTCAACTAATTTTTTTTTTTTTCTGTCAAAGGCAGATCATCCACACCGGGAATAGAGTATTCACGATAGATATATTCTTCATGACTTTGCCTTAAGGGACTGTCAAGATTTAAACTCCGGACGTCTAAAATTACAGTTCATCCCTATTGTCACTTGAGCTATCTCTTATCAACTCTACGTGGAAGCAGAGTTAACAATTATTAACACGATTTATACTTATTTAATACAAAAATGCATATGAAAGTATGCGATACAATAAAAATAATAACATATTTGGGTTCTAATGGGACTAACCTATATAATAAATCAGTTCAGTTTGATTTTAGTTAATTTTGACACAACACATTTTATATGAGATACAGATCAAATACGATATATATATATAGTAATTTTTAATCCAACCCTTTGATCGGATGAAAAGTTGAATGCTACAAAATTATCAGACATGAATTTAGCTTTTACCCATCAAATGTTAACTAAATTGGCACGTGAAAGTACTTCATAAATGAGTTGTATGTGAACTGAATCGATTTAAAACAATAAGATTTGGATGTCACACCACCCACTACTGGTTCTACAAGAAAGAATGATGATGAGCATCAAATAGCATTCTCAAAGCATTTTGTGATGGTTAGCAATCATTTTTTCTTCAGGGAAAGAGAGAGAGAGATTAAGTTAAGGAGTAAGTACACGTATAATTACTCTAAATAAATTATGAAATGATGCTAATTAATATCATTTGCTAAAGCGAGTAAGTCTAAGCCCCACCTTCCAACATAAAGAGAAGCCACACTGGACATAGCTATAATTTCTTTCTTTTTTTTTTTTCTTTTGTTTAAGGGTTGAGTGTGTTTTGATCAGTTTATGTGTATTTCGATTAATCTTCTTTTCAGTCTGATTAAAAATAGACTATCCACGCTGGAGTTAAGGTATTCATGTGAACTAAATCCGTCGTAACCTGACATTAAAAAATTGTTATGATTCAAACTCAGGACGTCTGAATTTATAATTCATTCCTATTATCACTTAAACTATCCTCAGAATAATTAGATATAATTCCCGCTCTAAGACAAAAGCATCTCTCTCATGGGTGCTTCGTCCCCCATGGGCTTTCTCTATCCATCACCGTCTTGGCTTTCTTCCTTACTCCCTTTGCTTTGTATGGAGTTTTGCTCATTTGGTCCCACTTCTCTCTATTTTCACAGGCACTTCACTAGCTTTCAGTAGAGTGCAACCCTTTTTTAGGCCCATGTATAGTCAAAGGTAGTAGGGCACTGTTTGGACACTAATTCAACTTTAACCCTACAATGATTACTCATTCGCAGTCGTGCATGGATCGGGGAAGGTTGTGTATAGTTGAATTCGTCTCGATCATTTTTTGATCAAATTTAACGTGTCAATTCACTTACAATATGTTGGGCATGGATTTCCAGCACAAAAGATGCACTTAGTAGGTGGAGCAACCTGCTAAGAATCCTCTCATTACTAAGCTATGTGTGACTCATTAGACACTTCAATAATCCCTCTCTCAAACGAAACTTATAATACATGATCATCACTGTATCACATTTGACACAAGGAGTAGAGTCCACATGGTGGCTTGGGTCATGACTTTGATACCATTTGCTAAGCATGAGTTTTCGGCCCAAAAGGTATACCTAGTAGGTGGAGTGACTTGTATAACACATCTTCATCTTCAATAAATGCAGGACTCGTTCGACACCTCAACAATATCCCTCTCGAATGAGGCTTACACTGGATAACTATCATTATTCTCTCATCTGACACAAAGAGCTGAGTCCACACAATGGTTTGTGTCAAGACTCTGATACCACCTGTTGGTTGTGATTTTCAGTCCAAAAGGTGCACCTAATAGTGGAGGCAGAGCGATCTCCTTCCTTATATGGCCCAGAATCCCTTATCACCAACCGATATAATACTCGTTCGACACCTCAACACAATATAAAATCATTAAAACTAAATTTATACCGGACAATTTTGTATCAATTTCATGTTGGATTGAGGGGTGTGTTAAAAACTGTGTCCACTAGTAGCAACACAGACGTGAACCATCATATTATGAAAATATCCGATGTTTTATAGATGAGATTTTTTGAATTTGTTTGTAAAGTGAGCAACAACTATATGCCAAACATTCAAACAAAATCTCTCTGATCCAACTTCAAACGTATTCACGGTGGAAGTTTCCCAAGGGGAAACTTTCCTTCTTCTGTCCTTATCAAGGACGACGGAACTATTCACATGTCAAGGTGCGCCATCGCCCTCCTATACCCTTGAAAATCCCTGTATGCACGGTAGTAGAATTCTATCTCTGCATAGTATTGGCTACTCTCCACTCCCAATTCACTTGATACTGTATTTATTGTTTTTAACCTTCGCACACATACACTACCTTCTTAATAAAATACTGTATTACTAATAAAGTAATGTAAGCTTGCTCTTCTTGATTTGTCTTAATAATAAAATAAAATATTATACTAAATATATTTTTCTCTAAGTATATCTTTATATTTAAAAGATTTAAATATGAAATTATAAATATAGCTCTTAGTGTTGAAATGAATTTTTGTTCACAGGATTTGACCTCCTTAAAGATAAAATCCTAAATTCCAAAGAGTTAGTTTAGTGGTAGTTCGATCACTTGATAAGCGTCTTTACAGACGCAAATCAGGATTCGAATATCCCGTGAAACATTCATCTCCTTGGTTGCTGTCTTGTGTGAAGAGACGATTTTGCACAAGGTCCAGCACTAGTCCGTAACTAATCGAGATGACGTACTATTGTGATCCATCAAAACAACTGAGTTATAAAAAAAAGAAAGATAAAATCATGATTCCATTCCTGTTCCTAATCTATAATCAAACAGGAAAATCTACCAAACGAGGTCAGTTCTTAACAACTTTTAATCAGTTAAACCGAACTTCTATTAGTCAATGATGACAATTAGGATCTGAAAGCATCATTACTTACGTATCACTTCATATTATAACTGGTGTTTGAGTAACAAAAAACTTTGATTGCAGGGACGTTCCGAAACTCAAGTATGGTGACCCACACTGAAAGTGATCTAAGGCTTATGAGAACTAATTTATGGGCAATACTAATTAGACCTAATTAATGAATGTCATTGAATTGATAATACATCTTTGCTACCAATTCAATGATTGTGATAAATTATATCAACAGATTAAACCGTTAAATTAAGTTTAAATAACACCACAGTTCTCATTTAATTCCATATCTTCTATTCCTCGTCTGATTCTCCTTTCCAACTTCCATCTCCTAAAGAGGAGGAGTGTGAATGTAGGGACTTAGTTTCCTTTTCCAATCTTTATGATGACACTGTTTTATTAAAAGATAGAAGAGTGATGTTGTGAGTTGATTGGTTTTCCTGTCTACGAAAAGTGTTCAATGAAATGAAGGATTGGTGGTTATTTGACAACAAAACAACAGGGGTAATGAAATTAGCTTGAAGACGAAGGAATCAGTTGTTTTTTTTTTTTTTTTTTCAAATTTTTTTTTTCTAGGTTTCAATCAAATCAATTAGATTGGTATATGATACAATACAAATCGAGGGATATCCCCTTATCTTTAATATATAAATGGTTCGGGTAAAAATTAAATTACAATACCACCTATTAACAATCACAATCCTAATAGGAAAAAAGAACATTTATAAGTTCAACAAATTTTTTTTTTTTTTTTTTGGACAGTGGGTCAATCTAAGAACTTCGAAAAATTAAAAAAAAAAAACCAAAAAACTATAAACAAATATTTAATATGGCATGCCCTATGTTAAACCCAAATGTTATAAACGTTTGTATTCAATCAATAAAACTTTCATCTATACCACAGTTGGTGAAGTTAATGGGATGTTGGATCGAGGATTTGACATGGTATGATGGTGATGACAATGATAATAATCATCGCAAAGCAAGAACTACCTCTTTATTTATACAAAGATTATATCAACATCCAAATGAACCAAAATTTTGAAGCATGTTCTTTGTTTTTTAAATCATTCAAAAAATGATCAAACAACTTCATCGGTCGTTCCACACATAAGTCAATCTATAGATACTGAAGCATCCCCACCCAAGCTGTATAAGATGGGATAACGTGAGTGAAAATATCTTTTATTTTTGTTGGTAAAAAAGGGTTGAGGCAAAAGGGAGTGCTCAAAAATCACTTTAATCGACCATCACTGATGGGATAATGAGACTCCTAATCCATGTCAATTACTTTTCTCAGGAATGATCTTACCTAGACTATTATAGTGATCAATCACTTAATCTCAATATGAACTCTAAAAGTCGAACTTCAGAATAAGAAATTCGGCCAGTCCCCCATTGGACCACTCACTCGGTGGTGTGAAAATATTTTGGTAATTACATAAAAACATCTGCACTGAGTTATATATGCCTGAACTTTTATTTATGTGCATTGATATATCACTAGTGCAATGTAATATTAGCTATAAAAACAAATAACACTGCATCTACACTAAAGAAGAAGAAGAGAAGGGTCAAAAGAAGTCTAAAAGGGGGAAAACAAATATTAGGAGAGAGAGATGAGAAATCAATCCATAATTCTGAAATGTTTTCTACTTGTTCCATATTGATAACCTATGGAGAAAGCCACGTCACAGTCTTCCCAGACTATACACGCTGAGAATTTAAGCTTGCTAGCCTTGCTTTGTACAAATGTTGGAGGGTGTGTTTGGTTGGGAGTAAAAGCATGGAATTAAACCTATTCTATCCCAGATCCACTTATCCCATTAATGGGGTGGAGGATATGCGAGTTCCAAGAATCAGTCGCTAATTTATCCTTCAAAATTCCAATTTTGGACATATGAGCCCCCACCCATTTCATCCAAATTTTGAACCAAACACAGGATGAGGATTTGTGCTGAAAAACCGTATCCAATATAACCCTAAATACACGTGAGTTGTATTGAAATGGATCAAATAATTCTATCCCAACCTTTGTTATTTCTAAATGAACGCACTCCCTTGTGATCCGCGAGATTAGTCGCACTAGGGTGCCTCCTAGTCCACAAGGATAATAGTCGTTCAAAAGGCATAATTTTTTTTTTTTGATCGAAAACGAGACAAACGTATATAACTATGTGAAAAAATTCAAATTACAATCCGACAAAATAGAAATCATAAGCTCGGGATGGGAGGAGACTAACCAGTCCAATGGGAGAGAACTGATTGGTTTAGCAACGGCCATCCAATGAGCAGCCCTATTACAGGCTCTAAGCTTGTGTAAAAAGCGCAGGCTATGCTTTAAGTATAGGAAATGATATATATGACCATTAAATTAAAATTTTTATGTCAATTAAGTTTTTAAACCTTTTTTTGTATCAGTTGAGTTACCGAACTCTCTAATTATGTCAATTGAGTCATTCTGTTTGCCTCTGTTAGAGTGTGTAACTCACGTCACTATATAGTATAATAAGACAAAATTACTTAATTGACACAATTAGATAGAGACCCAATTAACACAAAAAAAGTTCAAGAATTTCATTAATACAAAGATCATAGTTTGATGACTATATGTGTAGTTTACTTCAACCATTTGTATCACGTTTGTGACAAACTTCGTCACTTTTGTTAGAAAATCTAATGGAGGCAGAATGACTCAACTAACACAATTAGAAAGCAAAAAAACTCAATTGATGTAAAAAAAAATTCAAAAACTTAATTGACACAAAGATAATAATTTAAGGGCTATATATAATTTACTTATTTAAGTATCTAATACTACTAGGGGTGTCAATTGTGTCGTATCGTGTTATATTTTTGTTGTATCACTTTCGATCGTGTTATTTTTATGTCAGATTACTTTTGATACGTGTTGGATTCGTGTCAATAAAAAATTATTTAATTCCACAATAACTCATATAATACCATTTAAAAAAAGTATAAAATTTTTATTTTTTGTCTACAATACTCGTTAAATATTTATTTTCTATTTATATTATCCGTTAATCATATTATTCGTGTCAAACTTAAATTTTATCTATTTATTATTCTTATTAATTAATCGTATTATTTTAAAGTTTTGTGTGGGTTGAGGAGTTGGGTTCATTAATGGATGGATAATATATCTTGAGGTTCGAACCAGTTAAAATCCAACAACGGAACGTGCATCGCTAACCTCCTCAATTTGAGCCTGGAATTTGGGCTCTCAAGTCACGTTTTTGTATTGGATCAAAAAAAAAAAAGGTCACGTTTTTGTAACCCAAAGGCCCTAGCCCGGTGGCTAATTGCCAGCTTGGCCTCCTCATTGGACTGAGTACTGATCGTCCTCTTGTTCTTCAAACAGCTCACGACGAAACCATTATTGGCTACATAATCGTCAATGGTCGAGGACAACGACAAACTCGTATATCAGTCGAAATTCCGATTTATAGTCGTTAATCTTGAAACGGCGGCATAGTCATGTCACAAGCGCGAGTCTACGCGGACGTCAATGTTCACCGCCCTAGAGATTATTGGGATTACGAGGCTCTCGCCGTTCAATGGGGGTAAATATAACACATAAACCCTAATTTTTCCCCCTGATTTCTCTAATATTGATGTATAATTGCTTCGTTTTAACTTACATATGGATAATCTTATTTTTTTACGTTTTGGAATTGATAAGTCAGGTTTAGATATTGATTGCTAGTTTTGATTCTTTCCTTTTGAGTAATGAGGTTGAATGGTTTGAAATTGGGATTAGATTCAGATGTAGAATTGCTGATTATTTGGATAGCCGGAGGAGTTACAGATGTGTGTGTGTATTTGTTAAATGAGTTTGAGGTACTGTTTAGCAATATAGAAGAAAGTAATTCAGTGTTTGGCAGCAGGGAAATGAAGACTTGGAAATTTAATTTAGGAGAAGTTAGTTCAAACTTTGAACTAATTGCACCACAATATCATGTATAAGGCCAAATTCCATGCTTCCCAAGCAGGGTGAGAATCCTTAGATCTGAAAATTGAAAGAAAATGTTCAAATAGGTACTGCTAGAATGATCTGGAGAAAAGTGAAAGTTTTGTTGCCCTTTTTCATAGCAGTTGTGGATATTTACCTGTTCTATTGCTGTTAATTGCAACATGTGACATTGAAGTTGGATCATATACTTATATGGAAACATACTCCGAGCCTTAAATGGAGGATATGCATCGAGACTGTTAGTTGCAAGCTGCAACCTGTTTTTATTCTTTTTACATTTGGTTGAGCTTTTTCTTCTCATACCCCGCAAGCATATTTTTCCTGTTTCAGCCTTTTCATATTGCTTTTAATAGTTTTTCGCATTTTTGTGTGCTGGATGGACTTATCTTCCTGAAGGATACAATTTATTGTATTCCTTTTATTGCTTAAGAAACTTGTATTTATGGCAAAAAGAGAAAAAATTGGATGTTATGTTATTTGCTTTCCATGTTAAAGAGTCAGGCTTTACTTACTTGCCGAAGACAGAATTGAACAGTTCTTGCCTCGTTTGGGTTGCCTTTATTAGTCAAAATACTTCTAGAACCCCTCTCAGAGTTTCGTGCTAATTTTTACCTTAGCTATAGCTATCAAATTTTTTCCTCCCTAGCAACACGTTTTTGACATTAAAATTTTCACAAAGATATTTTTCTATGTACAATATGTCTTAACTAATATGTATTCTTGTGTATTCAGCGATCAAGATGACTACGAGGTTGTTCGAAAAGTTGGGAGGGGAAAATATAGTGAGGTTTTTGAAGGTGTGAACGTCACCAACAATGAAAGATGCATCATCAAGATCCTTAAACCTGTCAAAAAGAAGAAGGTGAAACTTCACTGTCCTTGAGTATCATATCACACTTGAGTATCATATCCTATGTATGATATCGTTGGGTTGTTGGTATCACACCTTGTTTTGACAAGGCTTTCTTTACTTTGGTTGAGTATTTTGGTGTAGTGTCCTGATATTTGGAGTTGTACATATTCAACACTTGGCGATACAAGTATATGTTTTTTTTTTTTTGGTCAAATACAAGTATATGTTGCATACCTCTTTTTTGTAAATCTCTGTCATATATCATGTCAGAGTGCACTCAATTCTATACATACCATGTTGTTAAGCTCCATATATTCAAATTGCACAGACACATTTGACTTTCTCTGTATCCAGTGTTGTATTATTGCTGAGTTATATAAGGGCAACTATGAGAGAAAATTTTCCCCTTTAATAGAGCTTAAGTTTATTGTAGAAGCTGATTCTGCTGTTCATTGAGTGCACTCAGCGGTTTCTGTTTATATGGATATGCAGCTTTAGATGAGGGATTATGGCCATATTAACTACATATGGAGACGAACTACAATACATCATTCATTTGATACAGAATGAATCTCAGTGTCCATGTCATTGTGGAATTCTGGCTCTATAAAATGTTCTAGTTTCTTACATTGCTATATTCTCATGCTGCAACTTGCTAGGAGGTGATCATGATCGCCCATGCATCTTATTGGTGCTGAAACCAGTGTGAATGTAATTACAGAATTGAGGTGTCTGGATTATGTGTTTTCCGCATGCCTGCAATTGTTAAATTTTTTCATAATTAAGTTTTCTATTGGGTGGATCTATCTTATGATGTTATTTGTGGATACTAAGATTTTCCAACTTGCGCAGATAAAAAGGGAGATAAAAATACTTCAGAATCTTTGTGGAGGCCCGAATATTGTGAAACTGCTTGATATTGTCAGAGATCAGCACTCAAAAACTCCTAGCTTGATTTTTGAATATGTGAACAGTACAGATTTCAAAGTCTTGTACCCCACATTGACGGATTATGACATACGCTACTACATATATGAGCTTCTCAAGGTTTGGTTCATCTGATTTTGTAGAAACTAGTTTTACAGACTGCATTTGTTATTTGCTTTTTTTTTTTTTGTAAAGGGAGAGAGGGAGAGGGAGGGGGAGGGGGAGTGGAAAAGGGGCTTGAACCCTTAATCTCAAGAAGACAGTTTTTATAAGGTAAGAAATATCATTGGACCAAAGACCGATTGATAATTTAAGCTCCTTCAAAGCCCACCTTTTAGCACATTAAGAGAAAACTCTAATAAAAAAATATTGAGGGTTGGTTTCATGCATATACAAGAGATTCTTATGCTATGTATGGAATTATTTGTCTATTATTCAATTTTAATTCATTAGAGAAATATTCATTTCATGGTTATGCTGCTGGAGGAATCAAATCCTTTTCTATTTTATAACCCTAGATTTTAATTGACTAATTAATACTGATTAATTGAACTTATGTTTTGTCCTTTTTTTTAATGTCTAATTGCCAAGTTGATATGCAGATACCAATATTTGCAGATTGGACAGCTTTGTCCTCTATTAGAAAGCATGTACGTTAGAATAACCTAAATTTGTCATGCGTGCTACAATTAATTGCTTTATTATTTAGATTATGTTAAAAAAAGAACATTTATAGAAATGATGTCTAATGGTGCTCAAAATTACTTGGCCCAAATGCAGAACAATGGTTATGAGACCCAATGGGGGGTGTGAATATTTAAATTAACAAAGAAGTAAGAGATGAAGTTGGACCAGAAACAGTAGGTAAGTGGTTCATCTTAGTCAAAGGACTAAGGCTACATCTACTGCAATAGAGACCTTTGCTTCTTGGGGTTTATATTGCTTGAAACAGAAGATTACAGTGAATTTCTTGACTTAGAACTTTTGTATGCAGTGCCTTGTAAATACAATTTTTTTTGGAATCCCTATATAGTGTATATGTGTTCTATTTATATAAGTAATCATCTAGGGTTTTTTGTGACTCCTNGGGGGAGAACATGTCTATCCCTATGTTTTAATATGCTGAATATTCTATAATGGAAAGGATATAGAAATTGAGGGATTTTTTCATTGGCGCTTGTACCAACGTAATTGGAATACTAAGTATATATGCACCATTGTCTGAATTATCAAATGTCTGTACACATATTACCTGGTATAAGATTTGAATGCTAGATAAGTAACTGAAGGATATCTATTCCCTTCTTTTTTTCAATAAGAAAAAAAAATGCACAAAGCTGTTTTTCCATTGTTTGCTTGCATGTTGGGATTTATGTGTTTTATCCCTACAGAGTGCACATTTAGTAGGTCTGGTAAACGATGACGCACCAATAATGTGCATGAATTTTCTGGACCATGACCATTGCACTTGCTTTGGTAAATAGTGAATAATCCAGCTGTAGATGAAATGTTAAATTATGTGTAGCTATGCATGATACATCACTTGGTTACCCTAAAATGCTTGCAAATACGCAAGTGGGTTACTCTAGTGCATGTACTGTATCTCTCTGTGATTTTGCTTTTCTTTTGCTGGAAGTTGGGGAAGGGGGTCACAATTCAATCTTTACTTCTTATCATGGAGACATCTAGATTACAATTTGGCTATAATGAAACTGTTATTCTGACAACTGAAGCAGTGCTTGGGGTTGACCAAATGGTGTTACTTAAATAATAGTACAACTACTTGAGAGTTACCTATTTGTTGGGGATCCATTTGGTTTTACCAATTGGTTGGAATACCATGAATTGGCAACAATCTGTGGAGTGTTTTGTCGAATTGGGACCACATCTCAGATTTTACACAGCTATTGCATATTTATCTGAGTGCATCTTTTCTCAAAATGCAGGCATTGGATTATTGTCATTCACAAGGCATAATGCATAGAGATGTCAAGCCACACAATGTTATGATTGACCATGAGCTGCGAAAACTTCGCTTGATTGATTGGGGTCTTGCTGAGTTCTATCATCCTGGAAAAGAATATAATGTCCGAGTGGCTTCAAGGTAAGCATTCCAATATACAATCAAACTAACCTATGTAGTTATTTATTTTTGCTTGATCCCTGTGCTAGGATGCCATCTTTCAAGATTGACAAGGTAGAGTCTGTCTAATTTGTTGGAACCATGTTGGAAATGCTCCTCGATGCTGGTCTCTTTGCGTCATTGGTTGCATTGTTTCTGGGTTACATGCCTTCCAATAGCAGCTTTAGAAATTTTACATTAAAGAGCCTTTGTGGTAGAGTCTACAAAGAATATTTAAGCTCTCTAAAGGTTCTAGGGAAACCTTTAACTGTGGATCTTTTCATCGTATTATGGGGAGGGCGAATTTTGGCATAGCAGTATGGTTGTTCTATTATGATTAGGGTGTCACGAATCTGAGCCATAAAAGTAGACACTATATACAGGACTAAGATTGTGTTTCTTTGTTTTTCTCTAGACCCTGAATAGAGGGGATTTCATGCAGTGGCTACATTTTGATATCAAGGTATTAATGTTTGCATTCACTTAGACTTAAGTCAGAACCAAGGTGGAAGGTGAAAAGACTTTTTGGCATAATTTGTTGGATTGAACTTTTATTGCCCTTGAAGTGGATAGTGTTTTGTAAAGCCACACTAAACCCATTATTTATTAATCGAACAAATAAAATTCAATCTTTATTGAGTTAATGCTTTCATTTAAGATAAATATTTGCTCAACTAGATCATTAGTGGTTTTGTGAGGTGCAAACAGAGGATCCTACATTTGTCTAACGCCATAGCATTAGAAAGCTATTTGACTTCTTTATATTGGTATCATTTTGATTCTACATTCAAATGGAGAGTCATTCTTTATCTCTTATTCAGATACTTTAAAGGGCCTGAACTCCTTGTGGATTTGCAAGACTATGATTATTCTCTGGACATGTGGAGCCTGGGTTGTATGTTTGCAGGAATGGTAAGAATTTTGCTGTCCTCTATACGTGCTTATTTATTTTGATGATTTTGATAAATGGAGTTTAATTTTGCTCCCACCTGTAGATATTTCGGAAGGAGCCATTCTTCTATGGTCACGACAACAACGATCAGCTTGTCAAAATCGCCAAGGTAACATTGATTTTGTTGTTTGGCTGACACACATAGACACTTGTTTGGTTCTCCTACATGCGCAAGTACTTGTATCATGGTTCTGTCAACTTAGTGTAACAGAATGATCAGGAGAAAAACAAAACACTCGCCAAAATAAATTATTGTAACAAGTATTTACAACTGCATTTTTAACATGAACATGCAATAGGCCAATATTCTCGTTGGCTTTATACAAAGGAAAAATACGAGATTTAATTTTTACAATAATACGCTTGCTAGGCATTTTTTTTTCCTCTGCTTCCGTACTTTATGGTTCAACAACTTTGGGTATGTTGTTCATAAGGTTTGAAACTTTTAGGTGCTTTTATTCTTGATATTGAGCAATTGTTACGAAACTTGGGCTTTACAATGCAATCTTTATTAGGATTTACTTTTACCATGAAAGGCTTAAACTGCAAATGAGAATACAGAAAATTTGCTTCAGAATATGGTAAAGTTTTGTTCGAATCCGTGGGAATGTGTGTAAGAATTTGCAAAGGGAAAATTGTTGCTTATAGCTTTGAAACAAATAGAATTGAAAGTACTTACGATAAGCAGAAATAAAACTGAATATATGGAATGTAACGTCACTAAAATTAGAAATCCAAAGGTGTATTAGTAAAGATAAAGATCAAGAGATGCTAATTTAAAGTCAGTTATCCATGGGTAGATTGGAACGATGTTACAAATAGAATTAAAACATAATAGATTAAATGGGTGGATGTATCTGGCATATTGTGTGATCAGTGTACAACTTCCAAGTTATATGGCAAGTTCACGAGACAACCATAAGACCTGCCATGTTTTATGATTCAAAACTACTAGACCAGTCATGTTGGTTCTGCATGGGAACATAGCTTAACATGCGTGACTGAGCAAACTGCTTCAATGCAGTATTAGGAGTGTAGTGTTAATACAATAGGCCAAGGGATCCCACTTTATTCCGTGTTTGTCCATTTTCCTGAGTCACAAAGAAACTGGTGTATAGAGAAACTTATCACCTATTCAATTTTACATCACATGTATTATCACACACTATTGTCTATTATTTTTAAGGCGCAATGCAAAGTGTATACTTACATTGATTATGGTCTTACAGGTTCTTGGGACAGATGAGTTGAATGCATATTTGCACAAATATCATCTGGAGCTGGATCCTCAACTTGATGCTCTTGTTGGAAGGTACTTAGAAGAAACTTTCATCCCCGGCATACAGATTGATCTGATTTTTTTTTCCTTAACAAAGGTTACAAGCTTTTGCCCTGTAGCCTGTGTGTAATGCAAGCTGGTTTGCATCTTTCTGATTTGGAAGAGCTGCTTCTTTAAGAATCTTTATCAGCCAACACCAAATATACCAACCCACATCTTCCACAAATGTGTATCAAAAATATAATATAAAAACATCAACAATTAATACTCATTGAAATTATTTTCCATAATTTCTTCCTACAGGCACAGCAGGAAGCCTTGGTCCAGATTTATTAATGCAGACAATCAGCATCTGGTTTCCCCAGAGGTTAATCATTTTGTGTCATTAAACAGTTTTGTGTTGTTTTATCCTCCTAATTATTTCAGCTATCTATATACCGTTACTGCTAGCTTATTTTGTGCTTTTGCTTGTAATATGCAGGCCATTGATTTTCTTGATAAGCTGCTTCGCTATGATCATCAAGACAGGCTTACAGCAAAAGAAGCAATGGTAATTATAGATTGCAATTTGGTTCTACATATTATATACTTGGAATTTGGAAATTATTCCTTCTTTGACAAGTCATCTATCAATTCCTCTTCATTTCCCCTTCGCAGAAATTTATAGTTTGACTTTCCTTGGTTTATTATCATAAACTTCTACTTAAGCCTGCATTCATTAGTTGGGGTTTTGACTCTGCATTCAGCAAGTCCATTTTTCCTTATGCAGTTTTTTCAGCAAAACTTGACAAATTGAGCTACCAAACTCACGAATTCCATGCCTTGCATGTGAAAACCTCATAATGCTTGTTGTATAAACACACTTGAGGGTTGTGGCATCTTTTTTATCCTTCATTTCAATCTATTTTTGCTACATACCTTCGGTGATCGCATGCTTTCAAAATTTTTGTATAGTAGTTGGTTTCACTTTTTGTGTCTTTCTTATTAGCTGTTTACACTCAAGAATCCAGGGGGTATTAGCCCTGCTGGCTTTGGTTGGCCTTGAGAGGCTCACTTCCCTTCCCACATGATTTCTTGGGTTCGAATTCCCTTCAGACCGGAAAAAAAAACTTACGAAACCAGTTGTTGAAATAGGTGTTGTACTTTGCCATGCAATTATTGAGTGTTGGAAACTCACAATTACGCTAAATCCTTACAGTCCAAGCATATGAGCTTCTTTGTTGATTGCTGTTCTAACTTCTAACTCTATAACCTCCATTCCCTCTTTTCTCTCCTTCCTCCCAGCCTGCTTTTCTGCAAAACAGTCTTTGAATAGGGAAACTGGCCTTGTTCACACTTCAGTAATACATAGAAAATTAAATAGAACCTCCATTGTATAAGGCTACATGCCTAGCCTTTTGATCTTAAGTTCCACAAAGTATTCAATAATACAGCTTCCTGAAGTTACAATTTCAACTGTACAGAAGCGCCTTCAACAGAGTTTTATCCTGAATCAGATAACAGCAAATAGTGAGTTGTGGTTGATGTATTTTTAACTTTATGAAAATAGGTTTATAAGACATCTATTTCTGTTTCAGGCACATCCATATTTCTTCCAAGTGAAGGCTGCTGAAAATAGCAGGATGCGGACACAGTAACTTTGGCCTTTTTCAATTTCCTTATCCATACGTGATCTTGCGTAATATGGTTTCAAGTGCCTGTTTGTAGAACCTGTGAACTTGCTGCTGTGCAACAGACCTTCCTAAATGACTTTTGGTTTAACTAAGATAAAAAATTACCATAGTTTTAATATTTGTTGGGGTCTACAATCAATTCAAATGGCATAGGTTAGAAAATAGGGTTAATAAATTATGTCTCTATAGCATTGNTTGGCAGCAGGGAAATGAAGACTTGGAAATTTAATTTAGGAGAAGTTAGTTCAAACTTTGAACTAATTGCACCACAATATCATGTATAAGGCCAAATTCCATGCTTCCCAAGCAGGGTGAGAATCCTTAGATCTGAAAATTGAAAGAAAATGTTCAAATAGGTACTGCTAGAATGATCTGGAGAAAAGTGAAAGTTTTGTTGCCCTTTTTCATAGCAGTTGTGGATATTTACCTGTTCTATTGCTGTTAATTGCAACATGTGACATTGAAGTTGGATCATATACTTATATGGAAACATACTCCGAGCCTTAAATGGAGGATATGCATCGAGACTGTTAGTTGCAAGCTGCAACCTGTTTTTATTCTTTTTACATTTGGTTGAGCTTTTTCTTCTCATACCCCGCAAGCATATTTTTCCTGTTTCAGCCTTTTCATATTGCTTTTAATAGTTTTTCGCATTTTTGTGTGCTGGATGGACTTATCTTCCTGAAGGATACAATTTATTGTATTCCTTTTATTGCTTAAGAAACTTGTATTTATGGCAAAAAGAGAAAAAATTGGATGTTATGTTATTTGCTTTCCATGTTAAAGAGTCAGGCTTTACTTACTTGCCGAAGACAGAATTGAACAGTTCTTGCCTCGTTTGGGTTGCCTTTATTAGTCAAAATACTTCTAGAACCCCTCTCAGAGTTTCGTGCTAATTTTTACCTTAGCTATAGCTATCAAATTTTTTCCTCCCTAGCAACACGTTTTTGACATTAAAATTTTCACAAAGATATTTTTCTATGTACAATATGTCTTAACTAATATGTATTCTTGTGTATTCAGCGATCAAGATGACTACGAGGTTGTTCGAAAAGTTGGGAGGGGAAAATATAGTGAGGTTTTTGAAGGTGTGAACGTCACCAACAATGAAAGATGCATCATCAAGATCCTTAAACCTGTCAAAAAGAAGAAGGTGAAACTTCACTGTCCTTGAGTATCATATCACACTTGAGTATCATATCCTATGTATGATATCGTTGGGTTGTTGGTATCACACCTTGTTTTGACAAGGCTTTCTTTACTTTGGTTGAGTATTTTGGTGTAGTGTCCTGATATTTGGAGTTGTACATATTCAACACTTGGCGATACAAGTATATGTTTTTTTTTTTTTGGTCAAATACAAGTATATGTTGCATACCTCTTTTTTGTAAATCTCTGTCATATATCATGTCAGAGTGCACTCAATTCTATACATACCATGTTGTTAAGCTCCATATATTCAAATTGCACAGACACATTTGACTTTCTCTGTATCCAGTGTTGTATTATTGCTGAGTTATATAAGGGCAACTATGAGAGAAAATTTTCCCCTTTAATAGAGCTTAAGTTTATTGTAGAAGCTGATTCTGCTGTTCATTGAGTGCACTCAGCGGTTTCTGTTTATATGGATATGCAGCTTTAGATGAGGGATTATGGCCATATTAACTACATATGGAGACGAACTACAATACATCATTCATTTGATACAGAATGAATCTCAGTGTCCATGTCATTGTGGAATTCTGGCTCTATAAAATGTTCTAGTTTCTTACATTGCTATATTCTCATGCTGCAACTTGCTAGGAGGTGATCATGATCGCCCATGCATCTTATTGGTGCTGAAACCAGTGTGAATGTAATTACAGAATTGAGGTGTCTGGATTATGTGTTTTCCGCATGCCTGCAATTGTTAAATTTTTTCATAATTAAGTTTTCTATTGGGTGGATCTATCTTATGATGTTATTTGTGGATACTAAGATTTTCCAACTTGCGCAGATAAAAAGGGAGATAAAAATACTTCAGAATCTTTGTGGAGGCCCGAATATTGTGAAACTGCTTGATATTGTCAGAGATCAGCACTCAAAAACTCCTAGCTTGATTTTTGAATATGTGAACAGTACAGATTTCAAAGTCTTGTACCCCACATTGACGGATTATGACATACGCTACTACATATATGAGCTTCTCAAGGTTTGGTTCATCTGATTTTGTAGAAACTAGTTTTACAGACTGCATTTGTTATTTGCTTTTTTTTTTTTTGTAAAGGGAGAGAGGGAGAGGGAGGGGGAGGGGGAGNAACAACGTAGATTTAATTTGGGATAAGTCATTAATTTAAATGCTCTAAGTTCGATTCTAAATGATAACTCTTAAGTTGAACTGATAGCAATGGTTAGAGTCTGATTATAGGCATTAAAAGTTTTTATTCTATAGGGAAAAAGGTCAATGGAACTCTACATCATAGAGGTTTCATATTATATGTGTTTTTGACGTATATCTGAATGTGGGCATACTAAAGTCCTAACGGACTCAACGTTTCTAAATAATAAGACTTTATCTACTTAAATCGACATCGACGTGAGATTTCAAATAGTGATTGTTCAAATGACTGTAATGTAAGTGTAAAAATATCTCTAGATTATTTTCTATACCTTAGAGATCAAACACTTAAACTATTCTTCTGTAGTAGCAATAAATTGAAAATGAAAAGTGGAATAGAATTGGAAAAAATCAGTAATGAACATAATTGGATAGAATGATTTTATTAAAATATTGTGCTGAAAAAAGACTAAAAATAATCACCAAATTGATGATAAAATTACAATGAACCAATGAAAAAGAATATGAAATCAAACAGTGTACAAACAAGTTTGGTACATTGGCGTGTCTCTCCTTATTTATAGGTGGTGATTTGTAATTGTTAGAACCAATTTTTTTGGCCACTTTACCTTGTTCTCAGGGCCTCTCTTTACGATGGCTATCATCATGTCTTCAATCGTTTATAACTAATGGTATCACGACGTCGCGTTCTAATACGTCTCCATACTTTTTGAAATCTTTTTTCATAATTGTTTAATTGTTCAAGACCTCTGCCAACTCAATCCTACATGTTGAATTGTGCAACGTCTCTTTCTCAAAATTTTCGTATTTTAAAACAATATGCATAAAAAGAAAGAGTATGCATGCATAAAAAGAAAGAATAATTTTATTTATCAATCTAATTACTAATAAATTAGATATCAATAACAGTACTATATATATACTAGTTATTGTCTGTGATTGAAAGCACAGAGTAATAAAAAAAATAATATACAATAAATATATTTGTATTCATATCTAAAATCAAATCACAAATATAAAAAAAAGATAAAAGAATTTAAGCACGATTTGTAGTGGGGGTAAGAGGTGGTGGGCGGTAGTAGCGGTGGTAGGAGACTGTGATGATTGTGGTGGATAACAATAACCATAGTGGTGGCGGGGGTGATGACAACGACGACGGTGGTGGTGGTGGTGATGATAATAGTGGTGGCGACAACGACGGTGACAACAACGACGGCAGGGGCGGCGGTGGTGGTGGTGGCGACAGTGGTGAGTGTAGTGGTGAGAATGTTTCAAAAATTATTATTTTTAAGTATTTATGAAAAATAATTTTTAAAAGTATTTTTAAAAAGTCACTCCAAACACTCTTAACAACTTATTTTTCCTATTAAATTTATAGTGTTAACATTAGCCGTTAGATTAACTTTAAAGTAAAATTTAAAACGCTCTAACTACGAATAGCAAAAGTCATTTTGTTTATCTTTTGATATTTGAATAAAGATAAAGTAGCTTATAATTTAAATCTCAAAAGATAAACAAAATGACTTTTACTATTTGCGGTTGATATCGCTTTAAATTTTACTTTAAAGTTAATCTAACGGTTAATATTAACACCCTAAATTTAATAAGAAAAATAAACCCCTAAGGGGTGTGTTTAGAGTGACTTTTTAAAATTACTTTTAGAAATTATTTTTCATAAATACTTAAAAAAAAATAGTGTTTGAAATCGCCTCACTACCACCCCCACCCTCCCTGCCGCCGCCACCACCACCACCACTACCATCGTCGCCACCACTACCACCACCATTGCTACCATCGCCGCCACCATTATCATCGCCGTTGTCACCGCCACCATAGTCATTACCACCCACCACAACCATTATTATCTCTTATTACTATCATTGTCGCTGACTACCTCTTACCTCATTATAACCGATGTTTAAATTTATTTATCATTCATCTATATTTGTGATTTAATTTTAAATATGAATACAAATATATTTTTTATTTTTTATTATTCCGTGCCTTCAAACATATATAATAACTAGTATATATATAANCTGAATAGAGGGGATTTCATGCAGTGGCTACATTTTGATATCAAGGTATTAATGTTTGCATTCACTTAGACTTAAGTCAGAACCAAGGTGGAAGGTGAAAAGACTTTTTGGCATAATTTGTTGGATTGAACTTTTATTGCCCTTGAAGTGGATAGTGTTTTGTAAAGCCACACTAAACCCATTATTTATTAATCGAACAAATAAAATTCAATCTTTATTGAGTTAATGCTTTCATTTAAGATAAATATTTGCTCAACTAGATCATTAGTGGTTTTGTGAGGTGCAAACAGAGGATCCTACATTTGTCTAACGCCATAGCATTAGAAAGCTATTTGACTTCTTTATATTGGTATCATTTTGATTCTACATTCAAATGGAGAGTCATTCTTTATCTCTTATTCAGATACTTTAAAGGGCCTGAACTCCTTGTGGATTTGCAAGACTATGATTATTCTCTGGACATGTGGAGCCTGGGTTGTATGTTTGCAGGAATGGTAAGAATTTTGCTGTCCTCTATACGTGCTTATTTATTTTGATGATTTTGATAAATGGAGTTTAATTTTGCTCCCACCTGTAGATATTTCGGAAGGAGCCATTCTTCTATGGTCACGACAACAACGATCAGCTTGTCAAAATCGCCAAGGTAACATTGATTTTGTTGTTTGGCTGACACACATAGACACTTGTTTGGTTCTCCTACATGCGCAAGTACTTGTATCATGGTTCTGTCAACTTAGTGTAACAGAATGATCAGGAGAAAAACAAAACACTCGCCAAAATAAATTATTGTAACAAGTATTTACAACTGCATTTTTAACATGAACATGCAATAGGCCAATATTCTCGTTGGCTTTATACAAAGGAAAAATACGAGATTTAATTTTTACAATAATACGCTTGCTAGGCATTTTTTTTTCCTCTGCTTCCGTACTTTATGGTTCAACAACTTTGGGTATGTTGTTCATAAGGTTTGAAACTTTTAGGTGCTTTTATTCTTGATATTGAGCAATTGTTACGAAACTTGGGCTTTACAATGCAATCTTTATTAGGATTTACTTTTACCATGAAAGGCTTAAACTGCAAATGAGAATACAGAAAATTTGCTTCAGAATATGGTAAAGTTTTGTTCGAATCCGTGGGAATGTGTGTAAGAATTTGCAAAGGGAAAATTGTTGCTTATAGCTTTGAAACAAATAGAATTGAAAGTACTTACGATAAGCAGAAATAAAACTGAATATATGGAATGTAACGTCACTAAAATTAGAAATCCAAAGGTGTATTAGTAAAGATAAAGATCAAGAGATGCTAATTTAAAGTCAGTTATCCATGGGTAGATTGGAACGATGTTACAAATAGAATTAAAACATAATAGATTAAATGGGTGGATGTATCTGGCATATTGTGTGATCAGTGTACAACTTCCAAGTTATATGGCAAGTTCACGAGACAACCATAAGACCTGCCATGTTTTATGATTCAAAACTACTAGACCAGTCATGTTGGTTCTGCATGGGAACATAGCTTAACATGCGTGACTGAGCAAACTGCTTCAATGCAGTATTAGGAGTGTAGTGTTAATACAATAGGCCAAGGGATCCCACTTTATTCCGTGTTTGTCCATTTTCCTGAGTCACAAAGAAACTGGTGTATAGAGAAACTTATCACCTATTCAATTTTACATCACATGTATTATCACACACTATTGTCTATTATTTTTAAGGCGCAATGCAAAGTGTATACTTACATTGATTATGGTCTTACAGGTTCTTGGGACAGATGAGTTGAATGCATATTTGCACAAATATCATCTGGAGCTGGATCCTCAACTTGATGCTCTTGTTGGAAGGTACTTAGAAGAAACTTTCATCCCCGGCATACAGATTGATCTGATTTTTTTTTCCTTAACAAAGGTTACAAGCTTTTGCCCTGTAGCCTGTGTGTAATGCAAGCTGGTTTGCATCTTTCTGATTTGGAAGAGCTGCTTCTTTAAGAATCTTTATCAGCCAACACCAAATATACCAACCCACATCTTCCACAAATGTGTATCAAAAATATAATATAAAAACATCAACAATTAATACTCATTGAAATTATTTTCCATAATTTCTTCCTACAGGCACAGCAGGAAGCCTTGGTCCAGATTTATTAATGCAGACAATCAGCATCTGGTTTCCCCAGAGGTTAATCATTTTGTGTCATTAAACAGTTTTGTGTTGTTTTATCCTCCTAATTATTTCAGCTATCTATATACCGTTACTGCTAGCTTATTTTGTGCTTTTGCTTGTAATATGCAGGCCATTGATTTTCTTGATAAGCTGCTTCGCTATGATCATCAAGACAGGCTTACAGCAAAAGAAGCAATGGTAATTATAGATTGCAATTTGGTTCTACATATTATATACTTGGAATTTGGAAATTATTCCTTCTTTGACAAGTCATCTATCAATTCCTCTTCATTTCCCCTTCGCAGAAATTTATAGTTTGACTTTCCTTGGTTTATTATCATAAACTTCTACTTAAGCCTGCATTCATTAGTTGGGGTTTTGACTCTGCATTCAGCAAGTCCATTTTTCCTTATGCAGTTTTTTCAGCAAAACTTGACAAATTGAGCTACCAAACTCACGAATTCCATGCCTTGCATGTGAAAACCTCATAATGCTTGTTGTATAAACACACTTGAGGGTTGTGGCATCTTTTTTATCCTTCATTTCAATCTATTTTTGCTACATACCTTCGGTGATCGCATGCTTTCAAAATTTTTGTATAGTAGTTGGTTTCACTTTTTGTGTCTTTCTTATTAGCTGTTTACACTCAAGAATCCAGGGGGTATTAGCCCTGCTGGCTTTGGTTGGCCTTGAGAGGCTCACTTCCCTTCCCACATGATTTCTTGGGTTCGAATTCCCTTCAGACCGGAAAAAAAAACTTACGAAACCAGTTGTTGAAATAGGTGTTGTACTTTGCCATGCAATTATTGAGTGTTGGAAACTCACAATTACGCTAAATCCTTACAGTCCAAGCATATGAGCTTCTTTGTTGATTGCTGTTCTAACTTCTAACTCTATAACCTCCATTCCCTCTTTTCTCTCCTTCCTCCCAGCCTGCTTTTCTGCAAAACAGTCTTTGAATAGGGAAACTGGCCTTGTTCACACTTCAGTAATACATAGAAAATTAAATAGAACCTCCATTGTATAAGGCTACATGCCTAGCCTTTTGATCTTAAGTTCCACAAAGTATTCAATAATACAGCTTCCTGAAGTTACAATTTCAACTGTACAGAAGCGCCTTCAACAGAGTTTTATCCTGAATCAGATAACAGCAAATAGTGAGTTGTGGTTGATGTATTTTTAACTTTATGAAAATAGGTTTATAAGACATCTATTTCTGTTTCAGGCACATCCATATTTCTTCCAAGTGAAGGCTGCTGAAAATAGCAGGATGCGGACACAGTAACTTTGGCCTTTTTCAATTTCCTTATCCATACGTGATCTTGCGTAATATGGTTTCAAGTGCCTGTTTGTAGAACCTGTGAACTTGCTGCTGTGCAACAGACCTTCCTAAATGACTTTTGGTTTAACTAAGATAAAAAATTACCATAGTTTTAATATTTGTTGGGGTCTACAATCAATTCAAATGGCATAGGTTAGAAAATAGGGTTAATAAATTATGTCTCTATAGCATTGCTCTACTAGAGTTGAGTAAGGTTATAGTTGCCACAGGCACTATATATATATATATATTTATTTATTTATTTATCTGCTTTTCACCTTCAGGACGGGAAGGAAAATGAAGATTTTGTGAAAGCATAAGATGCACAATGGGATCTTCAAAATGAATCTAAATAATTTTTAATAATTTTTTTTTATTTTCCTTCCTAATTGATGATCCACTATTAAGTATTAATGGGTGAAAGATCTATTATGTACAATCCAAATTGATTTGGTGATCCACTAAAAAAAATAAAGAGAAAATGTATTACTAGAGATTAAGGTTGATAATCAAACCGAGTTAAAGGCAATTTCTTGAGCTCGTTTTTATAAATGAATTTAAAAAATTATTCAAGTTTAATTCGTTCAAAAAATGAGTCGAATCCAACTATGGATAACTGGACTATTTCATATATAAATTAACTAAATTTTGTGAGTTCAAATCTGAGTCTTTTAAACTTGTTTTCTAAACTAGTGTAAAACATTATTCAACTACAAGTCAAACTCAAAACAAGTCTCATCTAAAAATTATTCAACTACGAGTCAAACTCAAAACAAGTATCATCCAAGCTGAACTTAAATACTTCGATTCAATTATTAACCCTAAAGACATCTCACCCAACTTGGCCTAAATCACTTGAGGTCGCACGTCTATCTAAAAATTGACCGACCAGCTGTGCCTTGCCGAACGTAAATAATCAATTGCCTATTTATAATTAGCAATGTTATTAAGACATAATTTACTGACTTACTTTATTATGACTTTTAAATTAATTATGGACTCCATCAGACATTAAAATTTAATATTTATTCAATAATTTTAATGAAGTTACGCCATTAAGTCAATAAATTATATCAAATATGTCCAAATAACATTTTTCATTTATAATATGCTTGAATAACAGGTACAATGCACATGGAAGCCAAAAAGTTCACCGTAATCATATCCCATCATACGTGGCATCCCAAGTGTGGAATTGAGGATCCTAAATCAATTTCTCCACAAAATTGGAAGTTTCCTAGGGAAATAAATGGCTGTTGACCTGGGTTATTTTGTGTGCATGTGCGCGCACGCGCGGCATGTTCAGGCAAAGGGCAAAGGGCAACGGGCTTTGGGTAAGTAATTAACTAATGAAACAACATACAAAACAAAAGCCATTCAGACTACCCATACAACAAATATATATACGGTGGAAACAGTACTCAATGGAAGAAGTAGGTGATATTATGAACATACTCCACAAATAGTTTCAAGCCAACAACCAACAATTTGGAACATTCCTCAGTAACCATACCGGAACAGCACATTGATAGAATTGAGACCATGTTTCAACACATCATAAAGTTGTTTTGCAGCTTCAAGTCATTTCTTGAGATGAGGAAAACATGCGGAAAGCTCGGCTTTGGGGTGTTTTGCTTCAGCATGTTCTTTGCACTTCACCTCTGATGTGGTGCAAATGAATGTCTGCATGCATACCTTGCACTGCATTCGACAATCAAATGTGTTAGAATTGATTAAACAAACCATGAAGACTCGTTTCATCCTGTTAAGTTTTTTTTCAAAATAAAACTGCCAATGGACAGAGATATTGGAGTTTTTTTTTGCTATTAAAGATATTGCAGTTGAAAGCTTCCCTAAAGCTTCACATTCTCTCATATATTGTGTTAAGACTGTTAAGTGATTAATGTTCAAGGTTTCTCGTTTTCCTTGCCTATATAGAACCATGCATTCCCCATATGCATTTGTAGTTTCCTTCCAGAAAGTTTGACTCTACCAGTGTTAAATGCAACCTTGATTTTCTAGGTTAGTATGCTACAACACTGAGAATTAGAGAGTTCATACTTCCTGAGTCAGTCATGCCAGGCCAATGGAGTTGGTAATATTAGATCAAATATCCAAATCAGTGCCTGTGTGCATTAACTTTATAGCAGTTTCTGCCTTTTGTTTTTTCACGCATTTGTGATACAATTGCTATTTCTTTGCACTTTTCTGTGCTTTGTCCTAGGGTCTCGTTCACAGGACTTAACCACAAACCTTCCTTCCAATTATGCTCGAAAGGTCATCCCGATAGGACAAAAGGAGATATCATAATTTGGAAATATACTGATAAACATTAAAACCTGTATTTTAAGGCTATCCCCAGGGAACGTCTTCTACAGGTTTCTGTCCGCCGGACCCAAGAATAAACATAACAAAGCAACCCCCATTGATCTGTGAATTGTAATTTTTCAGAAAGGTTATTCAGCTTATTGAATTTTTCTCCACCTTGTCATATCTTCTGGTGCAGCAGCCTAGACATAATGTATTTATAATCTATAAATATACAAAGGTTACCACACCAAGTCTCAGTTATGAAGTGTGTGTGCAAGTTTTCCTGCACTAACGGAGAGATAGAGAAAATGCAATTGCCTGCACACACACGCATGTATAGGCACGTGTGTGCGTGCACTGATGCAAATTTCTTAAATAAGTATTAAATTGAACTTGGTGTAAGAGAAGGTTTGCATCTCATTCTTCACCTTCATGTTTGAATATAAGAACATATTCAATGCAGTACAAGGTATTACAAGATGAAAACAACCGAACAAAGCCAAGGAATATACAGGGAGGAATATAGGGCAATCCCCAATAATTTCTAGAAAAATCATTCAACAATTCAGGCTCGGAAACACCTTCTTTTGCCCTCCAAGAATAAACAGGTTCATCCATAATCAAGGGTTCATCTACAATCTTTCAATCATTAAGCTACCCAACAGGCCCGTAACACAAGTCTTGTGCAAGAGTTCTTTTAAGCAATTTGTTGGGTCTGTAACAAAATCACTGAATCGAATTTTATAACTGAGGGCTTAAGGGTCTGTTAGAAGTTCAAATAGAATTGAATCTTTATATGGTTTCTATTTTTCCCCTAGGTTGTGAATGGTGATAATTGACCCCTTCCCTCACAGCACACACGGGATTGATTAGAACCCTGGCACTCAAGGCACCAATTAGGACTTATTTCACAAACCCTGAACAAAAATCAAAGTATAGACATCTAAACAGAGAAAATTATATGACTACAAAGATTTCATCCAAACTCAAATCAAAGTGAATTATAGTAATAAATTGAAACTAGGACCAAACAAAAAAGAGTCGAACCTGGATGGTCATGGCCTTCTTGTTGGAATCAAGCTGACTTCCTGCACAGACATTAGGCCGTTGATCAACTCAATTCTGATCCAAAATCCACCGATCTCACAAAAATTTTGAACATAGAAGATTTCGAGAAGACAAGACAAAAAGTCCCGAAAGAGAGAAAGATAGATGTAGAGAGTGAGAGAGGGGGGGGGGGCATGAGAGACATACCCTTGGCGCCTTTCATTTTCTCCATGTTCTTTTCACGAGCCATCTTAGCCTTCTGGCCGTTGCCTCCACCCATGGCTGTCGCTGCTGCGATCTCTGAGAGAAACTTGGAAACCCTAATAAGCTTTGCTCTTTGCCTTTTTCCTGGGCAGAGTTGAGTTGGGGGGTACTATATAGCAAGGTACGTACAGTGTATTAAAGTCCCAAAAGAGGACTTCAAACGAAACCTCCACGAAACGTCAAATATTTCATTTTTTTTTAATTCTTTTTGATCGATTATCCACCGTACGAGACAATATTTCTTGTAATGATTATATCATGGTATTATTTTTTTTCAACGGTGGAGAGTCTTAAGTCAATTTATGTGTATCTCGAATAATTTTTTGTCCGATCTGATTAAAAATAAGGCATTCATGTTAAAATTAAGGTATTCATGAAAAATATTATTCATATCTTAATTTTAAAAAATTATTAAAATTTAAACTCAAACCGTGTAAATTTATGTCAATTTAATAATATTACATAAAATAACCGCCTAGAATAAAACTCAACAAGTGTGCAAAATGGACCATCCTCTTTTAAATAATTATTCTTTTATGGAAGATAATAACCACTCAATCTAAATAAGTGATATTTATGTTACATATTTGTTTTATTTATTATTGAAGAATTATATCACATAATAAAATTGACACGTGGTAACCTACATTAGTTGAATTTTGTGTCACTTTATTTACTAAATGGGTAGGTGTTAGTTAGGTATCCTCTGGTCAAAATAGTAATAGCCCTTCGAAGTCCAGAAGACACACACAGATAGGGGTCCCTAGGAGACTAAACTGGTGGTGCGCATTTATTTATTAGTCTCCATAAATATACCAGTTGTGGGCTCCTGCAACCAAACAAAAGAAGAAAAACACCCATAACTAGGACCCAACGATGGAGAAAATTGCAACCCATAAAGTGAATGTGGATTTGAGCGGGTGAGTTTTGTAAAAATAGTTTAATGTATTTTTTAATTTTATATTTGGTTTAAGATTTTGAGATTCGAAATTTATAAGATAAATGAATTTCGGTCTGTTCTACCCACAATGAATAGTGAATTAAAATTCATATACAAGAATTTAATGAAACTCATGAGAGGTGGGTATTAAAAGTGAGAGATTAAATTTGTTGATAAAAAGACCGCTTTACTCAAAAATTAATTATTTTATTCACCTAATGAACATTTTAGTTAATTGAATAACATAATTTAACATAAATCATGGACCCTACATGTATTTATGTTATTTATTAAACATGAGATTAAATAGGATTTTTGTTTGAATCTCATATACAAATCCTTGATATTGAGTTTGAAAAGACTTGATAAATGCAATTCAATCCCCAAAACAAAAAATTCCAAACAGGTCATAAAAGTTTTTCACGGAAGGGTGTTACTGAAGTCAAGGATTTTGACTTCTTTAGGTCAAATTGATTATTATTGGTTCAAGATGAACATGAATTCAATTATATTTAATTTTACGAATGAGTTTTTTTTCAAAAATCAAGAAAAAAAAAAACTGAACCTAGCCCTTGGGACTTGGTTTCTTTTTTTTTATTCGATAGTCTAGGATGTCCAACTCAACTAATCTCTTTCCTAGTCAAGTCAAAAACAGGTCATTCACGCTGAAACTAAGGTAATTATGAAGGATAAGTCTCTTATAATTTGACCCCAATAAATTGTTAAAATTTGAACTCACGACACGTGAGTTTACAACTCGTCTCTGTTATTTGTTAACCCACTCTTACATATTAAAGGCTTGGTTTCTTTGACATCGCCGTACATTTATATGTTAGGTTTGGGTCTTTTCTTATGTAAAATTTTTAAATGGGTAATATGGAAGTCGGTCAAAAATTTTGGACTTAATTGAGCTAAACTACATTAAAAAAATTTATTTTGCCCTAAGTGAATTTTTTTGAAAAAAGACTAAAAAGTTATTTATTACTCCATTACTCTCTCTTCCCTACTTTCTTTCTATCCATCTATCTCTCTCCCACAAATTAATAATTTATTTTTTTTCAAATACGAAAAGATTTGATCTAATTTTTTTTCTCTCTCCCCAATTTTTTTTTATCTCTCTCCCTTTATTTTCTCTCATCGTTACTCTTTCGCTTCTTATTCTCTCTCTTTTTATATTAACGTTACAACAATATAATTATACTAATCAGTTACACCAATCAGTTACAATTGTTTTATAAATACATCAAACAGTTATTCATGTGTTCTAATAAATTAAACCGTTTCACCAAATAATTATATAAAATTATGACACCAATCTAATTTATCATTCAATTCTTTACATAAACCAAATAAGTACATCATTTAATATCATAACATGGTGATACCTATTATAATGATAAAGTCTTTTGTATAATGATAAACCCAATTTGGTGTATATATTTAGTATAACCATGTTATGATACCAAATAGTGTAACTCTTTGATTTATGTAAAGAATTGAATGACAAATTGTGTTGATATTATAATTTCGTGTAATTATGTAGTATAATTGTTTGGTTTATTCGAATACATAAGTAACTGTTTGGTGTATTTATAGAGCAATTTGTAATTAATTGGTGTAATTAATTAGTGTAATTATGTTGTTGTAACGTTGATATAAAAAGAGAGAGAGGGAAGGGGAGAGAGAAAGGGAGGGAGACGATGAGAGAAAAAAATGGGGAGAGAGAAAAAATAGGGGAGAGATATGATAAAATCAAATCAAATTTTTATATATTTAAAAATAAAATAAATCAATGTGAGATATGTAGAAAAAATAAGGGAGTGATAAGAAGCGTAACGGGAGGGAAAAAGAGAGAGATGAGGATAAAATAGGGAAGATAGATGAAGAGAATAAAAATTATGCATAATTTAAGGAATGATAAGTAAGTAAAAAAATTCAAATGTCATTTGAATTTTGTTCCTAATCATAAGATGTTTTATTAAAATTGAAATTAATAGAATAAAATATTTATTCATACACTTTTTTTCAAATAAGTCTAAAAAATATATCCACAAAAAAAAACACTTTTTAAATTTGCGTGACGACTACCGAACATCACGACTTTAAAGTGGGCCAATCTGAACTCGGATGGGCTCTTATTACCCAAAAGTTAGCCTGTTGACCGGATGGCTCCGGCCTATACAAAAAATGCCTTATCGGCCCAGATTCACATGTTGGGCTAGTTCAGATTCAACTGTAATTACCAGTTTTGAACTACAAGCTGGTGTTCAAAAAAAAAAAAAAAAACTACAAGCTGATGCGTGCAACTTCTGATCGGATGGATTTCAAGGTGCGACTTCGTTGGATTCGAATGTCATTCAATGAAATACGGTCTTATATTAGAATACCCAGATCTGACATATTTATGCTACATAAATTCATCTTACTAAGTTTAGACTTATGAAATCTATGATATGAATAGTCCAACAACGTAGATTTAATTTGGGATAAGTCATTAATTTAAATGCTCTAAGTTCGATTCTAAATGATAACTCTTAAGTTGAACTGATAGCAATGGTTAGAGTCTGATTATAGGCATTAAAAGTTTTTATTCTATAGGGAAAAAGGTCAATGGAACTCTACATCAGAGAGGTTTCATATTATATGTGTTTTTGACGTATATCTGAATGTGGACATACTAAAGTCCTAACGGACTCAACGTTTCTAAATAATAAGACTTTATATACTTAAATCGATATCGACGTGAGATTTCAAATAGTGATTGTTCAAATGACTGTAATGTAAGTGTAAAAATATCTCTAGATTATTTTCTATACCTTAGAGATCAAACACTTAAACTATTCTTCTGTAGTAGCAATAAATTGAAAATGAAAAGTGGAATAGAATTGGAAAAAATCAGTAATGAACATAATTGGATAGAATGATTTTATTAAAATATTGTGCTGAAAAAAGACTAAAAATAATCACCAAATTGATGATAAAATTACAATGAACCAATGAAAAAGAATATGAAATCAAACAGTGTACAAACAAGTTTGGTACATTGGCGTGTCTCTCCTTATTTATAGGTGGTGATTTGTAATTGTTAGAACCAATTTTTTTGGCCACTTTACCTTGTTCTCAGGGCCTCTCTTTACGATGGCTATCATCATGTCTTCAATCGTTTATAACTAATGGTATCACGACGTCGCGTTCTAATACGTCTCCATACTTTTTAAAATCTTTTTTCATAATTGTTTAATTGTTCAAGACCTCTGCCAACTCAATCCTACATGTTGAATTGTGCAACGTCTCTTTCTCAAAATTTTCGTATTTTAAAACAATATGCGTAAAAAGAAAGAGTATGCATGCATAAAAAGAAAGAATAATTTTATTTATCAATCTAATTACTAATAAATTAGATATCAATAACAGTACTATATATATACTAGTTATTGTCTGTGATTGAAAGTACAGAGTAATAAAAAAAATAGTATACAATAAATATATTTGTATTCATATCTAAAATCAAATTACAAATATAGAAAAAAGATAAAAGAATTTAAGCACGATTTGTAATGGGGATAAGAAGTGGTGAGCGGTAGTAACGGTGGTAGGAGACTGTGATGATTGTGGTGGATAACAATAACCATAGTGGTGGCGGGGG